AGTAGGGACTTTTACCATCAGAATACACTCTTATGGGAATGAAAAGGCAAAGTCACAAAGTGTGAGAAGGTATTTATATTCCAATAACTGACAAACTGTATCCAGAATATGCAAAGAGTTCTTATAAATAAATAAAACAAAATGCTAATTAAAATATAGAGAGATTTAAGCAGGTAATTCACAAAAGAAGTTATGCAAATGACTAAAAGCCACAAAAAGTGCTTAACTGCATTAGTAATAAGGAAAGCATAAATTAAAAGCACAAAGAGATACTAGTGTTCATTTACTAGAATTGCACACAACAATGAAAGCAAACCACTTCTACACATAACAATATGGATGAATCTCATGAACATAATATTGAGCAAAAGAAATCAGACAAATAATTATACACACTGCATAATTCCATTTTTAAAGATCTTAAATACAGGCAATTCTAAACTGCAGCTTATGGGGATAAAACTTAACTGATAAAACTATAAAGAAAAGTAAGGACTGTCAACTATTAAAGTCAGCCTAGTAGTTTTCTTTTTGGGAGTGATGGTGGTAATGGGAAAGATTAGGCAAAAACCTACAGGTGAACTTTTGGGCTGCTGCCAATATTCTATTTTCTGACCTGGGTATTTGTTATGTGTTTGTTTTATGATAATATATTTTTATATTTTTCTGTATGTCTGTTACATTTCACAATGAGTAACTTAAAAAGAGTGAGGGGAACATCCTTCTTCCTTACTTCCTTGGTGGAGAATCAGGGTTACTCAGTATGAATGGCAGAGGGAAAACTGGGTTCTAGACCATCATGGTGATGCCAAGTCAGCCCTGGACCATATACCTCTGAACTGCTTCTACACTACAGAGAAACCAGTTTCAATCTCATTTAAGTCACTCTTGGGAATTTATGTTTCTTGCAGCCAATCTAATCCTAACTTCTACAAGGTAAGAGTTGGAATTAATGCAACTTACACCTAGAAAACACCTATTATATATTTGACCCAATGCTTGGTTCCAGGTACAGCAAGAGGAACACATAGACAATGAAGGATTGAGAAAAGGTAAGACACCCTAGATCCCTGGATGGGCTAAATGCTTCTCTCTGATCTCTTAAATCCCATGATTAGAATTGGACAAAAGTCAATTTTTTATTTCTGAGAATAACTTAGATCAGCTGCCAAGTCTCCAGGGTAGTTGCTACCAACAACCACCACCCCCACACAGGTTTCCCTTGTCCCATGGAAGGCTGATCTATGGTCATTGCCAAATAGTAAACATGTTTTTAATAAAATTAGACCAACTCTTTGTTTAAAAGGAACTTTGGGACCTTTTCAATTGTCCTTGGGCCCAAGCACAGTCAGACTAGGAAGATTTATTTTTCAGAACTGAGCTACATTTAGCTTTCTATGTAGGGCACAGGGTCTTGAACTGAGCACTAAACAGAAGCAGGGACGGGTCATTCTCATTCCCAGAATTGGATTGAGCCCAGGTTATTTTAAAGCAAGCTATGAAGCAAATCAAAGTTGTTTTTAAATACATAAATCCAATAAGCCAGCTGGACTCAGGACTAGACCTATATCTTTTCTAGAATTATTCAACCAGAAAATAAAAATATTCCCTAAACTGAACCTGAATTGAATTGTACTGTTTTTGCATTTGGTTCAAGTCCTGGGATTTTGGTAGGAGGGAACAGCTGTGCATTTGTGCAGGGGGAGCTCAGGTCTGGAGTCTGTCGGCAGGGTAGAAGGTTCTATGAGCCTGCTTGTGTTTGCAATGTAAAACAAAACCTTGTTAGGGGTCTGACATGCAGGAGCTCTGGCTGCAGATAGCAATTCAGCTACTGAAGGGACAGATGACCTATATTTGTCTGTAGAGACTTGGCATTTGCTGTTGAATCAGTCCTTGAGAAATCAGCTATGGTCCAGGGAAAACTGCAGAGAGTTTGGACTTGTGCTTAATTCTCTCCAAGATGGACAGCCTACCTGGCAGGTATGATTTGTTACACAGAGAATGCAATGTTTTCTTCTCCAAACATACTCCTCAGGCATAGCAAAGAAAGCATTGTACCTCTCCAAACACTCTACAGAAGTTGTGGAGTTTGATCAAGGGAAGGTTTCACCAGCACACACTCCCACTCAGAACACAATGTATTGTGATGCAAATGAATTCAATCCTTCATGGGGAATCCGGAGATTTTCAAAGAGGTACAAGAGGAGGGAACAAATAGCTGCTCAAAGAAAACTATAGAAATAAAGCAAAGCAGTGTCACAATATCTTGTCCCTGTGAGCCTCAGAGCTGCCTAAAATCAGAAATAACTGATTCACGCCGCACCAGGGCTTCAAAGGAGGAAACCGATGTTGAGGCCCCTGTCCTATCCACCAAAATCATAAAGATCAGAGTGAAAAAGAATCTGGGGTTGGTGTCTTGAGCTCCTAATGATGTCAGTATTGGTGATGGTTCTGAACAACCACCTTTTACACATGGATCAATTTATATTACACCTTATAGTATAGTAAGCACTGAGGGTGTAATTGGAAAAGAAAAATACGTGGTATCATTTTCCTCTAGAATTGCATCCTCTAGTGGGGAATGCCAGACAGCAATGGTTGAAGAATCAAATTTTTCAGGCCCCAGAGTTTTCCCAGATTTGTCCCTAACTTTTAGACTGCTGAGATGAATTACCTAATGAAGCTGTGAAGAAAGAAAGCATTAGGATGCCTCAGTGGCCAAAGGCCATGTCCTAATCTCATCTTGTAGCTCTAAAGATAGAAAAAGACAGTGAGAAAGTTGCCATATCACTTCCCTGCTTAAAACCCCTTGATGGTTTCTGATCTTCTTTGGATCAAGTCTGCAGTCTTCAGTTTCCTTCCGAAGGCCTGCACCATCTGGTACCTGCCTGTGCCTCCAGCCTGGTCACCCTTTGTTTCCCCTCAACAACACAAGCTTGGTCTCAGCTTGCCGTGGTTCTGTCCACCCCAGGACCTTTGTACCTGTCATTTCCTCTGCCTTTTGGCTGGACAAATCTCTCTAATTCTCAAAGCACAGCTTTACTGTCACTTCACTGGGAGGCCCCTTATCCACATATTCCAGATCAAGTTTCTGGTCCATCTGCCCATTGACTTCTTTACACTGCTTTCCCAGCACTTAGCATGATTTTAATTATAAGAATACTGTGTAATTATTTGTAAGCCACATTTCCTGCTGGGTTGTAAGCTTTGTTAGGTCAGAGTTTGCATCTATTTTAACTTAACACTCTATCCCACCCCTAGCATGGTGCCTGGCTCATAGTCATAAAAGTGGCTAACATTTGTTTGGGTACTTGCCACCTTCTTCATGCATGAACCTAATTAATCCTCATAATCACCCATGAAATAAATGCTATTGGTATGCTTGCTTTGCAGATGGGGATTTGGAGGAATGGTGAGGTTAAATAACTTGCCCAAGGTGACCCAGCCAGTAAATAGCAAGAATTCGAATCTAGATAGTAGAGCTCCAGAGCTTGTGGTCTTAGCAACTGTATTGTAGTGGCTCAAGAAGGGTTTGTCAAATGAATACGTTTATAAAGAAATGAATGCAGTTGGGTTTACATGGCGTTCATGAGACTAATTGACCAAGGAGTGGCAAGAGTGTGAAGTGTGTTTTCTCTCTGCCTGTTACATATGCTAACATTTATTTAGTATTTATTACAAGCCCATTCCCTTGTTTTGCTGATAAGGAAACTGATGCTTAGAAAATTTAGTAACAGGCCATACAACTAACAAGTAGTTGAATTTGGATTTCAACCTTTCACACTGTATTACGCTGCCTCCCACATAAAATTAGGAATAACAAATGTCTATAAAAATGAAGAGAGAGCGCCACACTTGTGGATTTTAATCACGTGCACCCAGACACACAAAGCCCTTTCAAATGAAAGCAAAGTGGATGGGATTTAGATTCTTTTCTCTCTTTCCTTTGGAATTCAACCCAAGTAAGGTATAGAAAATGACCGTGGATGACAGCTGGGATCTTGCACTGGCAGACAAAGAATCTTTTTCTTCACATTTAGACATAAACACTTGCATTTCAGACTAGGAGACTTGTAGCTAGCAGACAGCCATCTGCTTTTGCTAGGTCCTACCTGGCTCCCCAAATCCTTACCTCTCTTCTACCAATTGCTCAATCGGGCTATCCTGGCCCCAAGTATTATTAACTATGGTCCTTGGAGTATTAACTGTGGTCTGAGGACTTGAAGGAGCATCAGTCAGCCCTTGTGAAGTTGACAGAATTCACCTTTGTAGGGAGTCAGGTTCTGACCTTGGGCACTGGTTTGATGGCTCCTTCATTCACCCAGTGAACAGTAACTGAGCACCTATTACATGGCAGGTCACATGCAGAGTGTTAGAGCTATAACAGTGAACAAAAACACAGATGCTGTCACCATGACACAGGCTGCCTCCTCCAGCAAATGAGAAGCTGACATAAAGTAACTGGTCACAAAATTAATTATATCATTATGGCACAAGGTGATGTAAAATGTCACCAGAAGATGCCTTCCCTGCTCCAACTGGTTATTTGCATGTCCCTACCCCCACCAGTGCCCAATTATAGGAGGCAAGCTCGCAGCTGACAGTCAGAGAGGTTGTGTCCTTCATCTTCTAAATGAGAAGAAATATATATTTCCTGGGGCCAGATTCTCCCAGTCAATACCAAGTAGAAAATAAAGCATAACTGGTTTAGTGGGGTGGCGGTGGGGGGGTGGGGGTGGTTATTTGCCACCAAGACAGAAGGAATAAAAGGACTGGGAAAGAGAGGAGAGGAACTTTGCAGAAAGTCAAGAAGGGATTTCCAGAGAATGTTCTCGACAGTTTTGGAGTGGCTATTAATACAAGGTCTAGTACCCACTTTTTGATGGGAGTTTCCTTAGCAGAAACCGTTAGGGAGCTGGACAGAGCAGCAGAGGTGGTAGGGCGGCAGAGGGAGAAAGCAGATGGCAAAGCTTACTCAATCCCTGCAAGCTTAAGCTAGCATGGCAGACTCCTGTGGGTCTGGACCAGGGAGCAGCTGGCTGTCCTATGACAAGGTACACATTGAGTACACCTTGCAGAACAAAGGCCAAGGCAGAGAGGCTAACGGAGGCGGGTGGAATCTTCCATGCCTCCAGTTCCAGGAGAATACAGAAGGGGTATTCGGGGCACCAATAGAAAGACAGTCTCCCTCCACCTGTCTACCCTTTCTGCTTGTTGTTCCTCAAGATACCTGGAATCAGTAAGCGTGTGTGCATCTGTGGGAACCCTGGAGGGAAAACTCTGAATGGTGGGTTGTTCCCAAATACTGACAGGATGTAAATTTGACTCAATACCTGGGAGAGACTTTTAAACTAAAAGTGACCAAAACACAATAAATTGAACTGAATATAGTCTGTTAGACTAAATTTAAGTTTCTCTTTGCCAGGCAGAGGGATGAGGGATTATCTGAGCCAGCTCTTCCCTGACCTGTAAGCCAGCACTTACCCCACTGAGCCCAGCCCCATCCTCCTCCTCCAGCCCTTGCTGCTGCCACCATGGGTCCAGCACTGGCCAGCTGTGGGAACCACCACAGGAGAATAAGACTTTGGGTCTCTGTCCTTACAATCAACTTAATCCTGGCATGTGCCAGAAGCAGAAGCTATGGGAAGAAGAGAGCAAACAAAACTCTAGGAAACAGTTTATGCCTCTGAGCCTGCAGACTCAAAGATGCAGTTTACAACAGAAATTGTAAAAAAATTTCCAATGTTTCTTCTCCAGAGTGAAATAAGAGCTCTCCTCTGCTTAAGAGAATGCTTGCATTTCTGATTTTCCTGAGGATACTTATAGAATAGAACGAGCCGATCAGGGATGGGACAGCATGTCCACTAAGCAGGGAGAATACAACCTGGTAATTCATTTCTGTAAGACTTCTTGCTTAGGGATTGCAAAGTCCTCTTACAACTAATACCTTGTCATAAAAATGACTATAGGATCCCCGATGGCCAAGTCCAATAAACTATAGAAATGAAAACAAAACTTCAATGTTCCCTTGTTTCCAGGTTTTTCTGCAGAGGAAAGAGAAAGGGAGGGAAGCGGGGAAGAGAGAGAGGAAGAAAGAGAGGCAGGGTGATGGAGGGGAAGACAGAGGGGTATGTGAGAGAGAGGGGAGTTGAGGAGGGGAAAACAATGCAGAATATAGGATTTAATTATAAATTCAGGTTTTCTCACCAAAACTGGGGTATTTCTGGAGGCCCAATTTTATGACCATAATGGAACATTATTACTACTACTAATAACAATATTTCTGTTAGAAAAACAAAGCTATAAGTAGCCTAACTTTCCATCAGTAGGAAGCTGGTTGAGTCAATTATGGTAGCATAATACTATGTACTTACTATATTAACGTGCTGTTTTGGATAACATGTAGCTCTTCAAAATAATAAGTTGATTTATAATATTGACCCAAGAGAGATATTTGTGAAAGTAGAAAAAGTAACTTTAAGGACATTATGATTTCATTTTTGTAAAACAACAACAAAAACAATACATATGAACTTAGGGAAAACAGTCTCTGATGTTTACATGTGTATTCCTGTGAGTAAAGAGAAAGGTGTGAGGGATCCCCATGAAACTTACCATTGGATACCTCAGGAGAGTGGAGGAGGTACTGGAAAGGAGGAAGAGAAAATTGAGATTTTCTTTGCACTCCTCTGTATCATTTGAGTTGCCACAATGCACACAGATTACTGGAATCTCACTTAAAAAGAATAAAACCATTAGAAACATTAAATTGCTTAGCATATAAAGTAGCAAATAGTACTAAGGGGTAGTAGAAAGCACTGTCTTTGTAGCCTATTACGTGTCATATCCATTGCTAAGTGCTTCATATACACTCTTGCTTGCATCTTACAACAGCCTTATGCTCACATTTTACAGGCTCAGAAATGCTAACTTGCCTGAATTTGCACCACACTTTCCTGACATAGTTGAGGTCTGAACCCAGGTCAGGCCAACTACATAATCCCTGGGGAGAGGGATACAGCTAGAGGGCTTCCAGGTAACAAGAGGTCCAACACAAGGGCTCTGTACAGGAGTATCAGGTGGTGGTGAGCAATTTCCACTGTACCCAGTGACAGGGCAGGAACTGTGACAGCTGTGAGCTGGACCCAGGGTTAGAATAGCTTCCCTGGCATATCAAATTTTAATAACTCAATTCTCATGACTGGGCTCAGCTGAGCAAGCTGCTATTACCCATCAGCTTCTACACAGTATTTCCCTGGAACAGGTTGTTTGGAACATCTTATGTCTGGAAGCATTTTATCATCGACGAGACTTAACCAAGATGCATTCAAATTGTCTAGCCCACTTTCCCATGCCCGTGGGCAGGGAAATTAAGGGTATTCAGGTCTAGCCAGCATGTGGAGTTAGGCAGTCAGGTCTTATTAATGTGGAGTTTTGTGACAATTTAGTATAAGCTTCGCTGAAATTTGCTTCTGCAACATCTGTAGATAAAAAATTTGCCAGATTTCTTGATAAACAAGGAAACAGACAAGTAAGGATAGGAAACATTTAATCTACTTGAGAGATTTAAGTGTTTTTCTGTTGTTGTTGTTGTTGTTGTTTTATTTGTAAAGAACTTAAGCATGGTGTCTGCCTGAAAATGCCAGTTCCTAAATAGTTATTATTAATGGTGAAAGCAGATTCAGCAAGATCTAGGTCATAACTTTTTAGAAATAGCCAAGTAACTATACCTGCTTTAAAACTGTAGTCTATTTCTCCAGCAATGTTATTTCCTTAAATAACTAGACATGCTCCCATCAGCATTGGGGATGTCCTGACATATTATCTCTGAGACTGAAAACACCAAGTGTCCAAATCTTTCTTGCAGTTCATTCATTTTTCAGATGACCGTGTTTATCAGTTTAGAACTTAGCTTGAGAACTTTAGATTTCTCTGTTTCTACAGGCCAGCAGATGTAAGCTGCACACCGTCTCAAAAAGAAGAAATGCCTTCTATTTCCGTGGAAAAGATTTGCTTGTTCCTCCTTTTTTAAGTCTCCCCTGTGTTTTGAAACCACATCTCTTGCCGTTCCAGTTTTTGTGGTCTCTGTTTTCTAGTCTCCAAGATTGTTCCCACTCTCCTTTTAAAGTGATCACTCCATTTCGTCCCTCTGCAATTTACAGATGGGAGAAGAGCAGTCCACATCTGCAGTCTCCATTTCCTAGTCACTATTTTTTCTCTGTCTTTAGTCCCTACCATCGACAGAAACTGCTCTCTCAAAGATCATGAATGACATTCTACCAGCAAATGTGGTGACCTTTTCTCAGTCTTCATGCTGCTTGCCCTTTCTGAGTGTCTCACGCTATGGACCACCTCTTCTGCCTTTATGGAAAATTCGTTTTTGTTTCCATTATCCTGCAATTTCTTTCTTCTTTCTTTGGTTCTGGATGTGGTTTTTGTTCCCTTTCTTTGCTTTCACTTGCTCCCTCACTCCCTTAAATATAAACATTTTCAAGTTCTACTTTCTTCTGGTGGTGGTGGTGGGGGGATTATGTCTCATCTTCTTTTTTGACTATAAGTGCATCTTTGTGGATGAGTTCCAAATCTATAGTAAAATCAAGTCCTACCTTTCTAATTAAATTCCGCCATGCCAAGTGCACACATTTCATTCTCAGTCTGTTCTTTTTTCTAGTGGCATTATACTACCTTCTCGAGTGACAGGGCTTGATATCTTGGGATTATCTTTAAACTACTCCCTTATTCCCTTCCCTTCCATTCTAACAGTAAGTGAGCCCTGTTGGTTCTGACTGTGAAATATCTATCACAAACTAGAGCTTGGCAGTTCTTTCAGAAGTGACTTAGGATAAACTCAACCATCCTGAGCCTCAGTTTCCTAACCCTTGCCACATAGATCATGGCAGATACAGTTCAGGTGTTGTTAAGGGTTGATAGCCCCGCTATTAAAGCACCGAGAGACTGGTACTTTACTACTTTGAGTAGATGCTTTGAGTTGTTTATTTTATTTTGTTCTGTAGAGGTCGCGTCTTCCTATGTTGCCCAGGCTGGTCTCTAACTCCTGGGCTCAAGCAATCTTCTTGCCTCAGCCTCCTGGATTGCTGGGATTACAGGTGTGAGCCACTACAGCCAGCTACTTTTAGTTGTTCTTGCTATAATCACTACAGTTGATTCTTGTTATTCACAGTGGTTATGTTCTATAAAGTTGCCACAGACACTAAATTAGTGAATACTGAACCATTGGTTCTAGGGAAACACAGGGCTAGGTTCCTATAGACCTATGATCACAACATTATCGTTGAGCAATCAGTATGTAACTTTGTTTTATGTGTGTTTCTATTTAAAGACACTTAATATACTTTGCTGATTCATGGACATTGGGCTTATAGCCAAGAACATTATAATTTGTGCTTGAATGAAGCTTATCTAACACACATATTTTCTCCATAAGGCACATCAGAGCCTTTTTGCACTTAAGAAAACTAGACAGCACTTGAATATTATGCTTGGGGTCATTTTAAACAGTTAAATCACCAATAAAATGCACAAAAATGCAAAAAACCATGGCACTGTTAAATAGACCACAAAAAGGACACTTGTTTATGGCATGAGAGGTGAAACAGCAAGGCAGAGTGTATTAATCCATTTTCACACTGCTATAGAAAAACTGCCTGAGACTGGGTAATTTAGAAAATAAAGAGGTTTAATTGACTCACAGTTGTGTATGGCTGGGGAGGCCTCAGGAAACTTACAATCATGATAAAAGGCAAAGGGGAAGCAGGTACCTTGTATACAAGGTAACAGGAGGAAGAATGAATGCAGGAAGTGCTACCAAACACTTGTAAAATCATCAGCTCTCATGAGAATTCACTCACTATCATGAGAACAGCATAGGGGAAATCACCCCCATGATTGAATTACCTCTACCTGGTCTCTCCTTTGACACATGGGGATTATGAGGATTATGAAAATTATAATTCAACATGAGATTTTGGGTGGGGGCACAGCCAAACTATATCACAGAATGTCACTTTGCTGCAGCTCAGCTGGGAGTGTGAGTATTGGGCAACTCAAATTTTCTGATCCTCTGCACATGCCTGTAAATAGCAGTGAAAACACCCTGAGTATTGATTTTGAGGTTACAAATAAATTGTAACCAGTAGGTGAATTGACAAATATGAAATCTGTGAATAATGAAATTCAACTATGCATTTTCCTTCTTTTACCTGATACACTTGCCCTCACTGAAGCCTTGGCTTCTCTTTGCCTAAATTTACTGCAGCAACTCTCCTGAACTATTTTTCTCCCCCAGCCTCCCACT